CCCGCCTGCTCTTTCGGTTGGCACCAAGGTGCTGCTGCCCGTAAACTTTATGGGAAGCTTTAAACGGGCGGGCTGCCTCGAAAGGGTCGCCAAAAGGTGACAAGAAAAATCGCGTGTGAGCCCCGTAGGCTTGAATTGGCCCATGCAGGCATCTGCACCTCGCCGGGAAACTTCCAGTTGCATCTCAAAACAGAAAGCAGTTGAAAAACATTTATTCTAAGGTAATTTCGTTGTTTCTCCTAATCACAGTTTCAAACTTTGGTTGAAAGCATAAGCCTTTTTACAGCAGGAAAATTAAGCGAGAGCTGGCATGAAGTGATCTGTGGGGAACAAGGGAGCTTTAAGGAGTTGTTTCCTGATCCGCGGGACTGGTGAGCCTGGGCTGCTGTGGTCTGTCCTCTGGCCCCTTCCTTCCTCCGTACTCCCTGTGACATGCCCTGTGCACAGGCAGGGCTAGTTGCCCTGGGACTACTTTGAGGTAGCCGGGCTGAGCGGTCAGGCTCTTGCTGCTACATGGTCGTTGGCAGCAGTTCTTGCTCTTTTTTCCTAAGTGAGGGAATCACCTTGGGTCGCATACCTACCTGAGTTCATTCACATTTTATGACACTTGTAGGAGTTTGGTCACCACTGACACTTTTGCAGTCTTCAAACTTTTTTTTTGGATGGATTTAAAAAAAGAAGTTGGTTGAGAGAAGGAAGCTAACAGGCAGCATGGTTGTAGAGTTTCCCTGAGAAACTAAGGAAGACGCAACAATGATAAGTGCTGCAATGAAATATGTGCAGTAACATGTTTGTATTTAGATGGACACGTTTGAAACTTTGCAGTAATATGAAGGTCCTGTGAGAGAAGTCTCTCTTTCAACTCCTCAAATCACCTCTCTTGTTGCAGGCACTTTAAAAAAAATCCTGAATCCCTCTCTGTACTACTGAAGAGGATATTATACATGGCGTTATAATATTTGAGATAATATTAACTGCACTCAAATAAACAACAAGATTAAAAGTTGGATTGTGTTGATTTCCTGCACAGAAAGTGTTTGTTACTCATTGTCCAGATTGTTTCTGTTGCCAAGGGGAAAGTGATTGTGGCTTATTTATATAAATATACTAGGTTGGTTATAAAAGAGTAACTTTCTTTTACTGGGAAACTGTTACTGTAGATTTCTTACTTTGTTTATCTGCTTAATTTCTAGGTGCTAAAAGTAGGTAACCATCCATACCAAATGCCTGGAACTTTGAAAGTTATACTGTTCTAATACTACATAATGTAATATTGTTATATTAATGCTACATCAGGAAATAAATTGAAATACAGTTTACAAGATGCCAACTGTTGAAGATCCGAGTAGTGAACAAAACTTCATTGCACACTGGATGTCCAATAGTTCCCGTGCTGGAGTCTTATTAGATCCTAGTTTTACTGGTTCGAAAATCAACAAAGAAAATTTGTTCTCTGGACCTGAAAGCAACACAGCTTTCCCTGCCGAAGTATTGCGTCTTTCAGACAGCTGTTCTGTAAGTGATGACTCCTTATGTGAAGAGTCTGGCAGCTCTTGTACACTTCAGGAGTGTACCACTGAAACATCTTTTCCAGCAGCAGCATGTAACGTAGAAACCTCTAAATCAGACTTTGTCCATGGTGAAGTGGATAGTCAGAATAAACCCGATCACAGTGATCCGCTCTTACAAAAGCTTGAACAGGTAAAAGTCCTAGAATTCCTTGACATGCATCCATTAAGATTTATTTTGTTCCCGCATATGATTTGCTGTAACTGGAAGTAAGCAAACTCTTTGCAATGTATAGAACACAGCAAGCTTGAAGAGCAAGTCCAAAGTCATAGTTATGCATGCATAAAAGTTGGTGTCCTCCTCATGATGTGAGGTTATTGAGAGTTTAACTGCTGTTTCCAGCTGGCACAGGTTCCAGTTTAAAATGAAATTGCATTCAGTGGCAGTGTACTTGTTCTCAAAATGTTTTTACCTGGAAAGGCGAAGCTGGTTGGGAGTTTGTAGTCCCACACAGTTTTACAACGTGCTGTTGTTTCTTCACTTGAAGGTGCGGAAATGGGGTGCTGGTCATTACAGTGGTAGTGCTTCACCACAGGTATTCACAATGTGGTGAAGTTCTGTGTTCTTGTATCTATCGCACCATCTTCTGTTAGTTCTCAAAGTAGGTATGTATACCCATATACCTGGTTCTGTTTAGATGAGAGAGATGGTAGTGTTGAACGTGATGAAGCATCCAAGACATTGGGACAAAAAAGCCTGGAATTACAACACTGATGTTACTAATTGTTTTTTTCCCAATGCAATCATGTCGGTTAATCGACTGTAACTGGCTGTACGTTCGCTTGTAGCTCTTCCCAATTACTGGATTAATTGCGTTAGCTGAAAGTCTTCAGTGGCACTTTAACAGATCTTGCTGTTGAGGATTAAGAACTCACTCACCTCCTTGTCCACTCTGCCAGCAGCTACCTCAGCACAAACCCCTATGTCTGCTTGCTCAAGCGGAGAGAGGCAGAGAGTGTGTCTAGAGTAGAATTCCACAACTTAGCCGGTGCTACAAAAGTTTTCTCCTGTATTTTATACGATAGGAAAATATTTATTTACTTTTTCAGTATTGTCAGCAGTATCAAACAGTGGCTAAATGACAGCTGGTTTAATAGTATCTTAAGAAGAATTATTAAGTCTCCTGTCTTAGAAAGTTATTGGCAATCTAATATTAAAAAAAAATAAATCTGATACTTGTAGTGGTGAATGTAGTTTTGAATGTATGAGATTTTTTTCAGTTTGGTTTTCTGAGGATATCATACTTCTACCTGTTCTGATAATAATTTATTTAATAAATTAAGTGAAGGGGTTGGAGATGAGTCCTAGGTGATTTTTGGATCTTGATCATTAGCTCACAGCTTCTACTTGCGTAGTGCCTTACTTCTGTTTTCACTGGAATTTTAAGGGACTACAAAGGAAATCCAAGGGAATTTTTTCTTGCTTGTTGGATGTCAGCTGTGGTCCAGTTGTTGACCTGTGGAAGGATTTCATCAGACCTCCTGTCTTTCCTTTGGAGGAGCTAGAACTAGCACACATGTATGTGTTGGAGGCGCAGATGGGCACAGAGGCCCACCACCCATTGCTGTGGTTCGGTAGGGTATGGAATACCCTGCCTTCATATGGCCCTTGAGGCTGGTCTTGAGGCAGGGCCAGGGACTCCTGCTACACAAGAAAATGAAGACTGGATTACTGAACGTTATCAGTATTTTACTTATTTTTTTTTTTTCAGGCAGCTTCATGAGTCTTAATGTTCTCAGATGCTCTTTTTTTCCCCTCTCTGTCCTTTGTATTAATAGTGTTCACTGTAACTGAGATCTTGGAGAGAGAGAAAAAAAAAAATCCCACCCCACACTTCTTCTAAAGCTTTAATCATTAGAAAGTATTTCATGTTTTAATAAAAAAACCAGCATAGCAGAAGTTAACATCAAAAGAACAGAATTTGAATGTTTGTTCCCATGCAGTAGAAATAAGTTCTGATTCCTATTGTTTGCAGATTGGTCAATTAAATACTAGTGGAACTGTTAATTGGGCAAACTGGAAATAATGTGCATTCATAGATGGGAAAATTCTTAATTTCCTTCATGTTATCTAATGCAACAGCTTTAAAGCAAGAAATACCCATTGTCTTGATGATGCTAATCCTGTAGTATATTCTAAGTAAACTTAGCCTCTAATACCTTTATTTTTGTGTTTGAAAAGCTGAAGGAATTGCAACAACAGAAACGGGAACAGCTAAAGAAACAACAGATGGAGCAACTTCAAAGGCTAATGGAAGAGCAGCAGAAGCTACTTAGCATGGTATCTGGCCAGACAGCAGTTCTTGGTAAGTTGAGAAAGCAAGCATATGATGTACTTTGAGTAAACTGAAGAATTTAATCTCATTTTCCAGTTAAAATCTGAAAGTGTATTCAGCCTTCTTCATCTTAAGACTACTTGATAGGTCAAAGATAAATGCTGCATCACTTCAGTGCCTGAAAGTTGAGTGCGACTGTAGAAGGAATACTATCCTGTTTTTATAAAATGCCAACTGTAATTGTAACGTGATCAATATGTGCTATGATGGGAGCCCTTGTTTCCAAGAACATATTTTAACTATAAAAGACTGTGTAAAACGAACAGTTGCTTTCTGTTCTGATTAGCTGTTTCTCACAATACTTTTGATTGCTTTAAGCTGTCAGTGTACCCAAATGGAGTGGTCCCTTCTTGTTTGTGCTCCCGCAGCACAGATTTCTTCAGGTGATGAACTGAACTAGACTAGGGAGCTGATCTGTACTTAAAAACAAACACTTGTAACCTGTATCAGTTTTTCAGACTTGTTTGCTGTGTGCAAAGGGAGGGGACAGTGCTGGGCTGGAAAAAGCTTTTGGAGTTAAGCAGGGGTATTTTCTCCTGTTGGCAGTATCAGTCCAACCTGACTTAAACAATTATCGTTCTTTCACTCTGCCTACCTGAGAAACTGAATTTAGGGCTTAGTTTAGGAGAACAAAATCCAGCTTGCCTCATCGCTTATTCTTGATCAGTAACATGAGATGGAGACTGGTGATCAGTCTTGCCCTTCAGTGCCATTTCTTTTCTCCTGTGGAGCAGTGGTGTTGTAATACAAATACAATGACACAGCCGCTTTTTTCTTTCAATTTGAAGGCTGTGCTCTAAAGGCTGAAAGTCAAAAGCCAAGACCTGGTGATTCAGTGGGCTTAACAACTTTACACCAATTGCCATCATCTGGATATCAGAATATCCTTGAAGACAGAGCATATGCTCCGATTGTTTCTCCACGTGCACAAGACTGTGATTTTTTACAAAAGTTAAACAACAACGAATGCACCTCATCTTTGAAGAACAGTCTTTCAGGAGTGTCTGCCTGTGAGAAACAAGGTCTGGGTGTGCCTCTGAAAATGCAGAATTGTTTGAAAAACGAGGAAGACAAACGTGTTACTGGTTAGTCATTTATAGAAAGGTAACTTGGTGTGTGGTGGGTTTTTCTTCCCCCTGTAGTTACTGAGCTTAATTTTCTAATACTTATTGTGAAGGTTTTATACAAGTGTTGGTTTACTTGATTTGTTGGTGGGTTTACTGACAGCTTACAGACCTCAGAGTGTTCCTGTTGATGTCCACGTGAGTTTTGTTAAAAGCAGCATGAGACAAAAATCAAGTTGTTCTATCTGTATGAAATGCTTGTCTGTTTTAGGGGAAAAAAAAAATCATTACTGCTAAAGCTTATATATGATAAAGACTGGGAAAATAGCAAATAATGACAGATACTGGATAGCAGGGCTGAACTGTACCCACATTTTCACTTGGCAAATGGGAAACAACAGGCTAGCCAGGGATACAGAACGTCTTCAGACCAGCTCTATTGTGAGGATTAGTAAATGAACTGGAATTAGGAATCCAGACGGGTTGACAAGGTCCTACCATATGACTGAAAATTTTTTTCGTACGTCAGAAGTAATGCACTGGAGTGCTTTATCTTTCCTTCTCTTCTCAGTTTTACCGTTAGCACCAGCATGACTGCTCCGCTGCTATGACTGGAACAGTGGTTTTGGTTTGAGTCTAGCAATTTAATAAAGTTAAACCTTATTAACCTGTAGAGGTTTTGGGGAAAAGCTATGAGATTGCATTTCGTCATACTTCATATCAAAAAAGCTTTAAAGCTTTTAATCAGAGGGCTTGGTTTAAGAGGATGTGAAAGGATAAATTGATCATAATTTATACATATATACATGAGAAACAGAAGCTTGATAAGAGAGCTCTTCTGTACAGCAGACATCCAAATTTGTTCAGTTACTTTATTTTTAAGCCATAAATTAACAATAGCAAATAAGAGAAACAATCAGAACAGGTTATTTAAAGTCTGTGGAAAATTTTGAATGCATAATTGGATGTTCTTTTAAAAAGAAAGCTCAAATTCAAATAAGAATTAATTTGGGGAAATCTTAGGACTATTTTGTGTAGGAATTCAGACTACGTTACCATGAAGGTCCCTTCTGGTTTTAATCTGACCTGAATGCTGCTTAAAGTATGAGCTGAAAACTGATTCGTTGTTGGGAGGAAAAAAATTTCTATTAATTTCACAGGAAAAAACATGTGGTGTCCAGAACAAAAGATGGAAATATTAACGGAGAGTGAAGATCATCGCATTGATCCTTTATGTGTGGAAATTGCCAACCTCTCTGAAAATTCCAGTGGAAGAAAACATTTGTGGACTAATACAGAGGAAAGGTAATTCAGACCATTATTATGCAGTTTTTGTCAAATAACACGAGTTTGGTTGAATTCTGAGTTCTGATTGAAAGAGTCTGATATTCTCAATTTGTGTAGCTTTCTCAACCAAGGATTCCATTTTGCTAGGTACTGTGGAGACCTGTAGTAAGAGAGGCTCTGGCTTGAAATTGCTTATGCTGTAAAAGATGTGAAGTTGCGTATTGGCTGAAGAGGTGTGTGCAGCCTGGGGTAACGATAGTTTAGAAGAACGTTTTAGTGTAGCTTAGTTTATAAGCAGTTATAATTGCAGTTCCCAATTTGGTTTACTACAATCACTGTTATGTGGTGAAAGTAGTCGTGTGAAGGTGGAGTGTAAGGCTGTGACTTTTTAGTTTATTACCAGGAGTTGTGTTTGTTCAAAGGTCTGTATATGGCTAAAAATTAATAATAATTAATTATTAATAAACATTACTTATTAATAATAAGTAATTAATAGTAGTGCTTGTGGCAGAAGCCTTCTCATGTATGGTAAAGTCTTTGGTTATGGCGTTGATAGGCTAAAAGTAGTGGTCGACATTGTTTTAAAGTTCTGCCTTCTCTGCCGGGTCATCACAAACCCAAGAAATACTTGGTGCAGGCTGTGGTGAGTTGAGCCCAGCCGGTAACTAAGCACCCACCCAGTTGCTTGTTCACTCTGTCCTCCAGAGCAGAATGGGAGAGGGCATCAGAGGAGCAAACTCAAGAAAACTTGTGGGTTGAGATAAAAACAGTTTAATAAGTAAAGAAGAGAGTGGGGGGAAAAAACCCCAAGTGATGCATAGGCAGTCACCCTCCACCTCCCACAAGCAGACCGATGCCCACTTTGTCTGTGAGCGACAGCTACTTTTGGAAGACCAAGCCCCCAGTTTTTACTGCTGCACATGATGTTATATGGCCTGGAATAGCCCTTTGGCCAATTTGGGTCTGCTGTTCTGGCTGTGTCCCTTCTCAGCGTCTCGCCAACCCCCAGCCTACTCCCTGGTGGTGGGGAGCGGCACCACAGAAAGCTTTGATGCTGTGCAAGCCGTGTTCAGTAATAGCTAAACCATTGGTGTGCTATCAACACTGTTGTAGTCACAAATCCAAACCACAGCACCGTACGGAAGAAAGCTCGCTCCATCCCAGGCAGACCCAGCACTCCTGTGAAGGAGGAGGGGTATCAAAGGGGGAGATAAGGAACGTGATCCCATAGATTACTGACTGGGATGGTGGTACCATAGAAATTGGCAGTATGACTAAAATACAAGTGAAAGTTTAGTGATCTGGGCAGAAAAAAGGGGTCATTGAGAAAACCAATGAAAGAAGACACAGCAAAATCTGCATAGAGTATCTTTTAGATATGTATAGTAACTGTAGCAGGGATTTGATAAACCATTTCTCAAAAGGTAAACAGCTAGTGTTATAATGCATTTCTCAGATTAACTTTGACACTTAATGACCAAAGTACTGCATAATTTGTCATCTTTTATGTAATTACACCTTAGGTCTTTGAATAGTAGTGATGTTAAACACAATTATTTTATATAGAAATATAAGACTTTTTTAAAAAAATTACACTAGACCTATTAAAGCTGCGATTCAGGAGAACAAACAGACATTTGAAGAATTCCTGGAAGAACAGATACAACTAGAGGAGCGGCGTCTGGAGCAAACCCAAAAGTTACAGGTTATTTATTTATTTTTTTAAACTTTATTGTCTCTATATATTGTGCCAAGATGCAATAGGTGCTTTAAAAATGTACAAGGAAGGTTCTAGCATCAAAAGCTAACATGGAATGCAATATTCACATTCTTAAAAATAAAACAACAAGCCTCAAATACTTCACTTGTTTAATCTTTACAAATCCAGTAGAAATGTACTATATAAATTCCTACTCATATGTAGGGTTTATTTGAAGAAATCTTCAAACTGTGTAAGGGGCTTTTTAACATTTTGTGTTTTACTTTTCCTTACCCCTTTTCAGGAGACAAACGGATCAGCCATTCAAAAACCAGTGATCAGACAACCCTTCCTGAAAAGAGGAGAAGGCTTAACAAGATTCACTAATGCCAAATCTAAAATTAGAAAAATTGGAGAAAACACCCCAAAACTTCAACAAAGGGCTTCAGATGACAGAAATATTAAAGTGGACAGATCACAAATACAGAAGAAAATTATGCTTCCTGGCAAAAAACTGGTTTCTGGGAACTCTTTTGCACCATGTAAAAAATACAACCACCCTGATAAAGCAAAACGTTGTGCTCTTCAGAAGACCCTGGTACTCAGGAATCACAATGGAAAAAATACCTTACCATTAGAAACAAGAATGCAACCAGGAAAAAATCACGATGGACAGATGAGAGATTCTTTCCCATCAGAAATTAACAACAAAATAGAAAATAAAGAGAACATAGTAGAATTTGCTAAGTCACACACTAGCAAAATTGGAAACAAATTACCTGGCAGAGAAAAGCCTCAGTTGTCTTGTGAGCTGGCCAGTGGCTTTTCTAACTCTAAATGTCCTGTAGGTCACCCTGTAAAAGATTCAGAACTGTCTTTTGAAGTTTCATTTCAGAATAAGCTGGAAAACTGGGAAAAAGAAAAAGAGAAAGAGAATCTAGAACTAGATGAATTTTTGTTTCTAGAACAAGCTGCAGATGAAATATCTTTCTCGAGTAACTCCTCATTTGTGCAAAGGATCTTAGATCAAGATCAGCAAAATTTAAAAGGCCGCAGAATGTCTTCTACCCCTATCAAGGCAAAACAGCAGCAAGTAAAGGCACTGGCTGTTGAACTTATAAATAAGCAAAATAAAAAGGCAGACTGTACGACACAGGGAAATATAGATGATGGAGCAGTTATGCATGCAGTCCCAAATTCAGCTTTTAGAATGCAGGATCCATTGAGTAAAACTGACAGGGTAATATTTTCAGCTTCTTCCATGACAGCAGCTCCGGCTTTTAAAAGTAATCAATGGATTGTAAATGAAGATAAGGGTGAGGGCAATGGTGATGCTACTACAGATTCTGAGAGTGAATTTGAGACCACATTAAAGCATGAAAATGAAGATGCTAAGGCATCTTTTTTGAGCCATAGAGAAAGCGATCCAGAATGTTTTGATTATGGAGATTCTGTTACAGACATCAGCAGAGAAAGCAAAAATGGAGATGCTGACCTTGGCTTGTCAGACAAAGAGTGCAGTGCACTGTCAAAGCAAAAGATTAGAAAAGCTTCAGAACATCAGAGGGGCATGTCTTGTATAAGTCGGAGTAAGTTCGAGTTTGATGATGAAAGAACATGGAGTGATCTTGATGAAAATTATGTTAACAGTGATTTCCCTGAAAAATACACTAAAATACCTTTACAGACGGACTTTTCCAGTCAGAATAATACAACTGTCCCAGGTAAAGCAATAAAGAGAAAAGTTGCCTCAAAGGGAGGAGATGAAATGTCCAAAGAGTCTGCCGTGGACAGTGATTCAACCGGACCGCCTGTATCAAACCTGATGATGAAACTGTTTCCTTCGCTGAAACCGAAACAGAAGGCAGGCTGTCATTCAGAGCATGAAATCAAATCAAATGTGGAGCAGGAGCCAGGAGGTGAGAGAACAGCAACTGGTAGGAAATGTTAAAGACGACATGTATTACAGGTCTTTCCTTCTAAAGCTTAAGCTGCAACCTGGCATTACACCAAAGGGTGTAAGTACAGACTTCAGGTGCAGGGAATGGCCTTGTTCTCACCTTTCCTCTCCTCTCCTGGTTGCGTGTCTAATGTCGGATCTAACAATTATGCAGCTTGCAGAATGAGTACGATCAGTGAAAACCTTTTTTTTTTCTTTTCATTTTTTTTTTTTTCCCCCTGGAGGCTAGTTTTCTGTCAGACCAGCTTATTGAACTAACTTGATCTGGAGCTGCTTGATCACTGCTTCCAAACCAGGGGAAGTATCAAAGGCATGCGGAAAATGAAGTGGTGCTTCTCTTTCCGCTGTGGTGTGCATTTACATCAGCATAGGGTAATGCTATGCACAGTTAGGTTTGCTTCTTCCTCTTATAAAATATAAGGAGGCAGCAGCCCTGTCTGTATTTTCCAACAGTAGTAAAGTGTTTAGAGAATTCATCTGGAATATGGGAAATGTGGATTAATCCTTCTGCTTTGCCCAAGGTGATTTTGACTATATGGTTATAGTCTGGGGAAGGACTGCCTCTAAAAACTCTGTATGAAGCTGTTGCATTTATGTGAGATCATTAAAAATGGAGTTGTTCAGTGAAAGGATGATGGCATAGCCTAGCATTTAAATTTCCTCTCTGAAAGGTGGTGACATCTTCGTTTCAAACTCTGCTCCAATGAATGTTTAGGAGTTTGTTTGGGTCTTTGTGAGATATTCATACGAAAGCTGCTATTTCTGCTTACTGTTTTGTGGGGAGTTGTTTTTGTAGGGTTGTCTAAAGATGCCTGCTAGATGTTGTTTGCAGCAAGAGGGGTAGAGTTTTGGTGTGGTTTGTGGGTGTTTTTTGTGTTGTGTGTGTCCTTTTTTTTTTTTTTTTTTAAATTACTGAATCTCAGAGCATTTAAGGGTAGAATGAGGCAACTACCTACTGCGCATCAGTATTTAGGCTCTTCTATTGCATACTCAGCAGCAGACTATTAAAACTCTGGGAGTGTTAAGTAGTGACTGAACAGGAAACTGGGATGGCAAAAAAGCCCACAAATCCCAGTATCGGCCTCTGCAATAGATTTCACATCGGTGATAGGTGTGAGCAGACTTTGTTATGAATTAAACTTGGAAAAACTTACAACCGTAAACTTTCCTGTTTGATGCTTGGCCCTTCATTTAATTTCTCTAGCTTGATGTGAAGCCCTTCTCATTCCAATTCCTAATATGTATTTAGTTCTTTAAAGATGATAAATATACTCTATATTTTAGGTACTTGAGTAAATAGTGCAGAGTGCTTTAAAATGTTACTTCTGTGTTATTTGAATACTAGAAAGTTTTTGCAATACTACTGCTATCTTAAAATAGTATCACTTAGTGGTTCGTTTGTTTTTTTAACTGGTGTGTGATAATTGTTTACTTCAGTCTTACGGATGCCACTTAGATAACTCGCATCTGGCTGTTCTCTGACAGGAAACACTGTTCCATCCCAGGTACTGAGAGAGAGACTGACTGAATTGGAAACTGAAATAGAGAGATTCAGAGCTGAAAACACAACTCTAACTAAACTCCGTGAAGAAAGAGAGCATGCCTTGGCAATCATCAGGTGATTTTTTTTTTTTAATTGAAATATTTTTGTGCATTCACTTACATAGTTTGTTCTAGACTATCATAATATCCAGTTACCAACAGCACAAGTAAATAATTGGTGTGTTTCAGTTACAGTGGAGACATAGGTCAAGAAACTGGTTGTTGCTCTATGTATATATTAAACTGTAATTATTACTCACAAATTATAATATTAAGAACACCTGCTAGTTTAATGTGATATCCTTAAAGGCTGTACTTAAGAGAATTTGTATACTTTTGTTCTGAGTGATAACACAGTCCTAAACTGGTCTTGCAAAAATGATCTTCATGCTAACATGATTGATGCTCTTCCTTTGGATTGGATGTTTGTGTGTACAAACTGAGAATATTTTCGTTTGCACTGGGGACTTACGTGATATGTAGAACAGAACAATTATCTCTGGAGACTTAAATGTGGCACGCCTATTCCTACCAAAGTAATTTTTGCTTTGTTTGGAAACAGTGTCATGTTGTTGGCTAATGTTTAATTTGTGACGTCCTGCTCTTAGCAGATTCTTTTCCCTGGTACTTTTGGGGGAACGGTGTTCTATTGCTTTGAAGAATGTTGGAAGATTTTAGCCAAAGCTTTGTTAAATTCAGGATAACTTTTATGACTAGAAGATATAAAAATAGAAATTGTTGGACTTTAAACACTAACCGTGTGACAATATTACTCCTTAAATAAGTAATGCCATTTAACCCTAAGTCTTCCTGGGGGTAACAGATGCTGGAACGGAATCAATGACCACAAAATTCAGAGTCTTCATTTTCTTCCTTAAAATCCAGATTTGAATTAGTTTTGGGCTAAAGCAACAACTTTGTTTCATAATTATAGGAAAGAAATTGCAGCCTTTCAACAGCAGAAAGCCCGAGAACTGGCTGAAATAGAAGAATATAAAAAAAAGGAAATAAAAAAACTGCAAAAGGAGCGTAAAGTCTTTGAAAAATATACCACAGAAGTTAGAGCAATTCCTGATAAAAAAGAACGCGATGAAATTCAGGTATAAAATTATATTATTCTTCTAGTCCAAACAGGAACAGGTAAATTGTTTTAAAGGCAATCAAGAACTAAATTTTAACTTAATTTTGAAAGGTTGCAAGTGATTTCAAAATGGGAACGGTTAGTAGACATGGCCTAATTGAGGAAGGAACTACAGTCTTCACAAATGTTGTTTGATGGTTTTAAGGCAAAAACCCCTGATGAGCAAATCTTTTTGTCACATTTCCATGCTAAAAACTGCTCATGACTATGGTAGAATGATCTTCAACTTTGATACGAAGTTACTGTAGTTAATATTTTGTAAGTTTTTATTCATGGTAGTGGATCGAAATGCAAACTAGAACTCTACCTGAGTTTTATTCTGTCTGTAACTGTTGTACAGTAAATGTAGTAATCTCCTACAATTTTCAAAGTTACACTTTGTTATTACTTGTAGGTCTTTAGGTATTGGAGATGTAAGAAACAAGACCTATTTGTTCCTTCATTGTCAGGATGTACATGAGATGTATAAACAAGATGTATTAAACAGCATGGATTTCCCTTTAAAACATGGATTTCACTCCTCCTTCCCAACAAATCTTCCTTACTTCAACAGATTGAAGTAACATTTGCTAATTGGTAGTCTAAAGTAAATAATATCTCTTTCAGGAAATAAAACTTCTCCTACCTTTTACTCTCTGCCTCATTAAGCTGACCTTATTTTTTTTTGCCCCTCTTGTGCCTCTTTGTGTGCTTGTATTTCTATTAGAACATTAAAATATTTTAATATGTTAAAAAATGAGAGCTCTTTTATTTATAAACATGCATTTTTCTAAGGCTTTGAAACAGCAGATTGCACAGTTACAGGACAATTTAAAACGAAAAGAGGCAAAATGGTCAACCACCCACCGACGCCTGAAAGATCAAATAGAAGCTTTAGAAAATGAGAATATGGAGTTAAAAGAGGAAGTCAAAATAATGGAGAGGTTTCGTCTAGAAGCCTGGAAGAAAGCAGAAGCTGCTGGAAGCAAGAGGAAAATAGAAAATTCTGGGATGACTCTAAGAAGAGCAGAATCTGTAAGTTATTAATCTTGGTGTTTTAAATTAATCTGTGTGAATACTTGAGTTTTGGATCATAAACTTGGAATCCAATAGCTATAGCTTAGTAAATTAAAAGTAAACATCTAATCTTGGGACTCCACTAGTGGTGACAGACACAGAATTCTGTTAATGTCACATTCTTTCCAGATGTGAATGTTCACAATATGCCACACGCATTCTGTTGAGGAACTCCTCTTAAAAATTCAAAGTGATGCAATTGTAAGAGAAAAATCATAGATGAGATCTGACCTGTGAACCTCTGCACCTTAAGGATCAACCAGGCAAACCAGGCAGTTCACCGCATGGTGTATAAACTTTGTTGCTGCTGTATGAACAATTATGAATAACCACAAATAACTTCCTTTCTTTTAGTGTCTACCAAACAGAGGCCCAAAAAGTCAAACTGCATCTCCGCTTCTTCCAGTACAGAACTGCATCAAGATAAATGGCAAAAGTTGTTCACAGGCAAAAGGTATAAGTCTTTGTCCAATCGGAGAATTCTGTTAAATCTTTAAAAGAAAACTAACGTGGATTTTTGCTTGTATTAAAAGGAGTGCATCACCACCTCAGAAGTAGATAGAGAATAGTTGTAATGAACTTGAGCATATGGATACATACCTTGCAGGGTAAGAGTCTGGAGAAAGCTGTGATGAGACCATTCTCAGAGTGAAAATGCTTCTGGTCATAGTTTGGTCATCTGGAGTGTGCCAAAAGCTGCGTTCTGTGATCCCATATGGCATTCATCGTTGTTCTCTGAGCTGCCAGTGCTCATTAGATGACTATGTTGATAGCATTGGAACTGCTGTGTCTCTTCAGACCCTTCTGTTACCAGGATCTGTAATCGTACAGGCAGGTGTTCCTTGTTCATAGCGAGGAGCAAATGCTGTTGGCAGCTATACCCCTTCCTAATGAATAAATCACACACGAAAGTAATGGGAGGGTACTTTTTTTGATGTCTCTGACAGCTCAAGCAACCATCATGTCCTCTAACAGAGGAGTACATTCCAGAAATGAAGCCCTTGCTGGTTTTATTTTCTCATCTTTCTGGCGTGCTAGCAGAGATGTGGCAAAAGTATACCAGTTTCTTCCTTTTAAAAGGTTATACTAGTCTTCCTTTATTAATTTTGAGGCATAACTAATATAATGTTGTCTAGATCCCTCGGCGAGGGGGCATCCTTTGTAAACCTACAGAGATGAAATAGGAGAGAAGGTGCAAGTATTATGCCTGTTGCAATGATTTTTCAGTTGTAGTTTCTTGCTGAAGCCTGAAGCAATGACATACCCGAAGGAGCTGGCTTATGCTGATTCTTTTTGTAAATGTACTGCTTTCAGTTTCTACTGCACTTAAGAAACACAGGTGTCCTGTACAGCTTGACTGCATAGATAACATCAACACTTAAACTGTACTTTAACTTCACTGTCCAAATAAACTGCATTATATGTATCTGAGTAGGAAAGCTTTCTATAACACCTGCATTGGGACCTGCCAGTGACAGAAGCAACTCTGAGACAATGACAGCACTAGAAGATTCCTCTAGGAATTTTATGGTAGTAAGTTCTGTATCTTGATTTGATTTTTAAGGGGGAGGAAAAAGCCTAACATAAAACCATAGTTACTTGTACTTAAATGAGTATCTGGAGGGTGACTGGTGAAGCTGTTGACTCACCTCCTTATATTCTTCAGCTGAAGTTTTGTTGACATACCAGAAAATGGCTATGTAGTAGTCGATGCAGAGCGTTTTACCTGTGTCTAGTAGTTGCAACATTCTTTGGCTGAGGAACGAATAACCTTTCTCTCCCTTGAATTTTGCAAAATGTTTTACCTTTTGAGAGGGGAAAAAGCTGGATGTTGATATGCTTCATGTAGGGCAACCATGCAAGAATCTTATAAATAGTTGAATGAATTCTTACATTGATTGCTGTAGGTAGCATTCAGGCTTTATGAGACCTCATCAGTTGTTTCATACCTTGATATGGATGACATCAGGCAGTTGAGCACCATGCTACAACACACCACTGAATTCCACTTTAGGCTAGACTACAGCTGATCACAGACAATGAGTTATTGCTGAGTCTCAAGTCTGTCTTACCACTTTAATTATACTAGGAGTTGCATAAAACCTAGATTGTGTTTATGCCTTCCTATTCTTGTCTTCCTCCCCAGTGCTCCTTGCTTCCTAAAATACCTGCCAGCCTAGGAAAGAAACCACGTGTACAAAGACAAAGCTCAGTTTGAGTTTATGCTTAGATTATTCTTGTCATTTCAGGACACTGCTCCTAATGAAGCTCATGTGTCACTGCTATCTGGACCTGCCTGCACAGACAGTGAAGAGATAGAGAGAGAAACTGCTTATCCTGATGGAAAGGTGAAATGATTGCGCTGCACTCTGAAATTCCAGAAGACAGCTGTTGTGGAAGATGAATGAGAGTGTGATGGCTCAATACTGACCTCTCTCTCTGTAATGTATTCGTTAGGTTGAAAAGGTTTTGAAAAACGGCTGTCACCTCATATTTTTCCCCAATGGGACGTGGAAAAAAGTGGGTTCTGATGGGAAGACTGTAACTATAACCTTCTTCAATGGGGATGTGAAGCAGGTTATGCCTGATCAGACAGTGGTATGTATCCCACCTCTTCTGCATTTTTCTGTAACTACTTATTTAGGCACACATGTGTATACACACACATATAAAATTTCTCACTAGTTATGTTAAATCTGAACTGTTTTCTGCAGATTTATTATTATGCTGATGCTAAGACTACACACACTACATACTCTGATGGCTTAGAGGTCTTGCAGTTTTCAAACGGACAAATAGGTAAAAAAAATCATCCGGCCCAACCAGCCTTCAGCATTGATGCCCATATATATAGCTGTATTTCTGTAATAAGCATATTCTCTCAAAATAAATTTCAGAGAAGCATTATCCTGACGGCAAGAAAGAAATTACCTTCCCTGATCAAACTATTAAAAACTTATTTACGGATGGGCAAGAAGAAAGTATCTTTCCAGATGGTACTATTGTTCGTATTCAGCGGTAAGTCTTACCTTTTCAGGTACTGGAGCCTGTGGATAGGAAAGGAGCAGTCGGGGTCACTGATAGAGGCAGTATACAGTGACAGATCTATTTCTAGAAGTTTACATTTGAATATACTGTACTGTGAACATGTATTTACTGTTGGAAATTTTTGTGTGTGTGTGTGTGTGGTTTTTTTGTTTGTTTTTGGTAGCTTGGAGGAGACGCAAAGACCGTGAATGCCTCTGTGTGTGTTTGCATAGTTCTAGAGAACATGCGAGAACCTAGCTGGTGTGGCAAGCAGGTGCGACTGGCAGCTGATAGCGCTCAAAACATTGTTTTAAACTTTTCTTGGACTGTTGCAGCAATAGATTTAGTGCAGAGAAAGTGCAGTAGAAGCTCTCGAGTATAAAGAAGTCATGTCAGTTTTGCAGAAAGAGTTTTTTGAGTACCAACCAGCTGGCATGATATTTAACAAAGCAGGCTTTTCACAAATACTATGTATTTTTTTTAAAGGTCTTCCTTCATTTACGTTTGCATATATAATGTTTGTTCTGGGTTAAGCTTAAGTCTATGTATAATCATTACAATGCATTTTTAAAAAAAACCACTTATATACATTTATTTAATGCAGAGATGGAAGCAAAACTATAGAGTTCAATAATGGCCAGAGAGAACTACACACATCGCAGTTCAAGAGACGGGAGTATCCAGATGGTACCGTCAAGACCGTGTACGTGAACGGACAGCAGGAAACAAAGTATGTCTCTGGGAGAGTAAGAGTAAAGGACAAGGATGGTAATGTTATCATGGACACTAAGTTGTAAGTAATGTCAAAACTGTTGAAACATTAGCACATCAGCAAAAATAACGTACATTCTGTAAACAAGAAGCAAACCCCCTTTAAGCTTGTTGTGTATATATTGTTTATACTTTTCCTGAAATAAATTTATTTTTCAGTGGGTGTTACTACATCAGAGCTTTTCCTAATTGTTTTCCCATTTCTACTTTTAAGAAGCAGTTTATTGATTCAGTATTCTGTCATGTGTGGTTTAAAGGTTTTTGTTTTTTTTTTTTAAATCAGCTGTCAGTGAAAACTCATCAAATGGCTGCAGATTACCTTATTTTAGACATCGAAGAGAAGATTCCTCAATCCAAAGTAAAAAGTTGTGCTGTTGGAGCCGGTGCTGTGGTGAAATACAGCAGGTGGCCAAATTCCAGACTCTGGCTATCAGTTTACTTAGTGCTTGATGTAAAAGGAATGCTGCCATTCATTTACTCTTTTCAGTTAGCTCTAGGCTATTCTTCTTCCTTCATAATCTTAATTTTTTTTTTTCTTCCTCTCACAGTTAGTAGGCAACAGCATCAGCAGACCCTAATTAACTGTCCTTCTATATTCATAAGGCTAGGACAGGTGAGACTGGGGAGGTTACCTCTTCAAGCTACTTGGAAGAGTGGGAGGAAACACCAGAAATCAACAAAGGTCATCTCATCCAATTCTACCCAACAGCCATTTTTAAGCTGACGTGTCTTAAAATTCTGCAGTATCTACAAGCAAAGTGTACTGCCAGAGCGTCTGCTCCAAGTCTCCGTTCTAGTGGATGCTGAAAAATTTTTCTCTTGCACAGTGGAAGATACTTACTTTCTTCCCCTTGTCCCCTCCGCACCCCTGCCCTGCCTCCTTAGTGAACGCAAGCTCTGTAGTTATTGTGCCTGTGGCCTCTTCTACTCAAGGGGTAAATCAACTTGCAGTAGTAGGAACTATGCTCACTCACAACTAGAAGTTACTCGGTGGGCTGGCTAGGCAGGGCCTGGCCTTTCTGGCAATCTTAAATGGCAGCTCTTAGCCTCAAATTACGTAAGTCCCTTTCAAGATGGTTGATAAAGAACTTTTTTTTAAAAAAACAAAATTAAGGAAAGAAACACATTTCGAAGATGAGGACATGACAGCTCTATAGGGTATTTGCAACAGCATATAGCCCATGTCTGATTAATACCAGAACACGTACTGAAACTGTGAAAGGATCCTTCTACTGCACGTAGAGACGGGCGTGCTACCCTTGCAGTGTGCCTGAGCAATGCTACTGGGGTAAGTTTTGTACACGTGCTTTCACCTGATCTTGAGGGAAGAGCCATGCATGGGGTATGTCTGTGTGTGTGTATGGGCACAGACTGAAACATGGGAGCTTCCCTCTGAATGTCAAGAAACACTTTTTTTTACTGTGAGGGTGACTGAGCACTGGCACAGGTTGCCCAGAGAGGTTATGGAGTCTTTGGTCATGCATGTTTTTTCCTTGATAATCTAGACAAAATTCTCCATGGGGAGACTGAAAGGGGCTGAGATTTAAGTGTAAAGGATATACTAGATATACTACGCTAGTACAATAGAGACATCCAAAGCAGCCTTACGTACTACAGCAGTAAAGGAAAACAAGCTTTCAGATGCACGCTGAACAAGCTCCTGTTTATTCTAACGATTTCAAATGAACACTGCAGCTCCAGGAGCAAAAAGGAGGTGCAGGGACACCCAAAACACATCCATCTTGTCATGACTGAAAACAGAAAACAGCAGCAATGCAAATGTGTTCCAGAACAAGAAGACAGTAACACTTTGCCCACCCCCAACTGTGGACTCCCTAGCCCAGACTCTGGCACTGGAGACTCTGCCACTGAATAGGCCTGAAACATAAACAAGAGTTAGTTACATCACAGTAATAAAACTATCACCTTCCCTCCAACTCTTCTAACAAGGTACTAGAACAAGTGTTTTTACCTATTTCTTTACCACTCTACATTAATTCCATGTACTCCTGTGAAAAGAATATCACAGAACAATACTTAAGGCTCTAAGGTTGAAAGAGATTGAGATATCAATGTATAGTTTTGCTATTTCAAGATTCAAAAAGTGTTGGGAATATTATCTGTAAACATCAATGAGAAGAGTACTTATTAAATGGGAGGGAAAAGGGCTACTTAACATAGAGTTGGCCGAGAAATTTGGAAAGCCAAGTCTCCAGTATTCTCTGTAGACAACACACACTGTAAAGCTTTTCATTTAAAGTATTCTGCGTTTGACTAGATGTATGGACATCCACATGTTATCACAGTCTGTCTGAGAACCACTAGCACTGGACATTGAGATTAAATGCGTAACGTGTATGTGAAGAAATTCAATTTTTCTAAGAGCTTTTTATTTTATTAAAAGAGTGGAAGTGTGGACAGAAGGGATTTTTTTAAAAAAATAAGTTCTACTTGTCAATATTACTGACAGTTTAGATTCTGCTTAAAACTTCTGAAATCATACCTTCGCAACAGTATGAACCTGTAGTTCATATTCACTGTACTTACATGTCACTCATCCAAATCTGCAAGTCCCATTTCTATCAGTTTCATATGAACGAGATTTTCATCATCTCCATACAAAGAAATGGTGACCTCTGGTGAAACAGCCTGAAAACCAGACAGAGTTTTGACAGTAACAGAGATAAATCTCAAGCTAACCAACAGCAGAAGTTAATTTTCCTGGCTACACTCACTGCCCAAATGGAACTGTGAATATATAAAGACTATTTCTAAGTAAAGGAAACTGTTTTTAAAATAGGAATGCTCAGAAACTTTTTGATTGCAGGATTAAGAGCAGTGCCACGTGATTTTTCTCTCTTCATCAGCATAAATGGTTCACAGTTTAAAATGAAGGTTCACAGTAAAACAAATATTCAGAAATTACAATGCTAGTAAGAGTTTTAGGCTGAGCAAGAACTAGGAGGAAAAAAAAAGAAAGCATTTCTCACAAGCATGGAAGCAGAGAGCTGTTTTCTTTCAACGCAATCCATCATAGCCCACAATGCTTCCAGACTCCATTCTGGGGCATAAGGAATTCTTTTCACGTTTTTGTCATATAAAGCAGGTTTAAATCCAGCCAACAGAGCTCGTACTGCCTGAACAGGAAACTTCAGCAGATGATATGGTATGTGACGCAATCTGAAACAAAAATGAAAAATGTTTGCCTGCAACAACGCACCTGCCACGCCAAACTATCGGTATGGACAGAAGGATAGCTTAATGGTGCATGCAGTAGATTTACAGTGTGGAAACTGGGATCAGAGTCCCAGCCCCACAGTAACATGCTGGTGTCAGACCAAACAATTCACCAGGTTGAGCCAGGCCCACTGAAGGACTTCAGCACAGCATCCCCAAGCAGCACACCCCGCAGCCCGCCAGGCACGCTGGCTCCCCATTGCAATGCTTGGGGAGGCATCTCAAGTGCCCAGTACAGATTTGAGCATAGGAATGGAAACGCAAGCCATCAAAACGCCAGCTCCAAACCGAGTGCATCTGGAAAACGACACAGACCTTTGTGGTCCAAAGCGCTTCACACATGGATGCCCTCTAGACACCCTACGGGAAATAGGTACCTTAGTTTTGTATTATCATCTCCCCATTCTTCTCTCTTTCTATCCCAGAAGCAAGGGAATGGGGAAGCAGAGCAGGAAGTGCAACCCTGAAATAAAACACACACTCTCTCCCATGACCCTAATAGTCCTTGAAGCAGGGCCTCTGTTGAAATCCCCATTCTGCCTCATCTTCAGCAAGGACCAGTAGATTCCCCAATGAGCCCAAGAGCAAGTCAATGTGATAAAGCAGTATACATATCAAGTGAAAAGTGCTTCAAGAAAGAAAAATCAGACAACCTTAAGGGATCCTAAAAGCCTGGGGTGTTTGAGACACTTAGCTGGCATCTGTGTGTCAGCACAGGAGCAGTTCCTAGCGCAGCTCAGCACCAGGCAGAACAGGGATTGGAACTTCTACTTCCCACACAAGCCGAACGGGGTGTGTCCTACTCTGATAATCCCTTTCTTATTCCCCAGCTGTCTTCTGCGCAGACTGCAGTCGCACAGGATCCGACCATTTGTTTGTACACCTGGAGTGCTCAGTCCCTATTTTGTGTACGCTTCTTGGGGGCAAAAGCAGATTATAAGCCTGAGCCTACTTCACAGGTTAAGTAGCCTGAAGATGATGAAGAAATTGGATATTATAGTAACGGGCTTCTCAGCACAACTTGAGAAAGAGAAGCAGGTGTACAACCCCATACCCTGCAGACAGAAATTATTTAACCAGCACCACCTTTCTCTCCAACTGAAATCTAATGCTAAATTATTATAAACAATATCTCTGTAGTTATATACAAATAAATAATAATAAATGAAAAATAGTGTATGTACTTATAAGTACATTATTTTAGAATATAAGTGTATACATACATACACACAGAGACATTTTACATGCATCTTCTTATGCAGTTACCTGCTTGTTGGGACAACTGAAAAAGTACCACAGTCAACAAACTGAACCAGGATCTTAATGGGGTCATATTCTTTAACAGAGAGGAGTTTTGCTCTATACCATAAACCATCGTGGTATTCTACAAGGCAAGGCATTTCTGTAAAAAGAAAAAAAAACAAACCACAAGACACCCCAAAATATACTCACAGTGCAGTACAAAGTAACTGAACTTGAAAATCTATTTTACTTCATGACCGAGATTCAGGGTTGTTTTCATTTTCTAATTCATGCTACTATTTTGTTCTAGGCATCCTCCAATTCCCTCTGAACTCCAATTCACAATCATTAATATACAATTTAAGTCAAGTTTCTCTGCCTCACATGGCAATGATGAGAACAGAAAATTGCTTGGTAAAGATAGCGATCCAAACTGTTTAATGTTTAAGCTTTTCAACCTTGACTCATTTGCATATTTCAGTTAGTAAACAGATCGATCTGTAAGAAAATAGACAATAGTCTGGAGGATGCAAGGCAGATGCTGCCT